TGAATTTCTCATATTTTCTATGAATTTATTATGATTTTTTGAGGTCAAAACATTAGAAAACAGTAAAAAAAAATTGAAGGGAATGACACATGGCAGCACCTGATGGGCACGTCGCCAGAGTTTCCAACGGGTGTCAGTATTCGGTAGGGCCACGTGTCATTAATGTTTTATTTTTGTGTCTATCTTCAAAAATTCACAAAAAATTATTTAAAAAATTAGAGAAATATACCAAAAATTTCTACAAATTCCTTGCGACATTATCTTCTCCTACAATGCTCGAATATCCAAATTTGACTTTGAGAAATTTGAAGTAACAATTGGATAAAGAGTTGTAGTGAGGAAGTCTAATGATCTTAAACTTATTGTTATTGCTAGTATAGAAGCAAACTTAAGTTTGAGAAATTATTTCAATTTTTCTCTTAGTCAAAATTATATTTTAAATCTCAAAAGATGTAGAAAATATCAGAGTCCAGGGTACTAATAAATGGAAGAGAATGACACATGGCAGCGCTAATGGGTGGTTCATCATAGTATCCCACGGATGTTAGTATCCCGTAGTGCCACATGTCATTGAACTTTCATTTTTTTTTTGTTTATATTAAAAAATTCACAAAAAACACAAATATACACCGAAAATTTCTAAAAATTTCTTGCGACATTATTTTCGAGTATGATGCTCGAAAATCTAAATTTGACTTTAGGAAATTTGAATTAATAATTGGAGAAAGAGTTGTAGTGAGGAAGACTTATGATCTTAAACTTAGTGTTATTGTTAGTATAGAAGCAAATTTGAGTTTGAGAAATTATTTGAATATTTCTCTTAGTCAAAATTATATTTTAAATCTCAAAAGATGTAGAAAATGACGCAAGAGTTCGGGGGTTTTTTTGGTGAATTTTTCAGATTTTTATGAATTTATTATGATTTTTGAAAGTCAAAACATTGGAAAATAGTAATAAACAGAAGAGAATGACACATGGCAGTGCCTGATGGGTGCGTTGTCAGAGTATCCCACGAGTGTTAGTATCCCGTAGCGCCACATGTCATTAAACTTTCATTTTTTGTGTTTATCTTATAAAATTCACAAAAAATCTGAAAAATACATTGAAAATTTCTTGCGACATTATGTTCGGCTACGATGCTCGAAAATCTAAATTTGACTTTGGGAAATTTGAATTAATAATTGAATAAAGAGTTGTAGTGAGGAAGACTAATGATCTTAAACTTGGCAAAATTGAGTTCGACATGAATTTTTTTCTTCGTCAAAATTATATTTTCAATCTCGAAGGATGTAGAAAATGTCGAAAGGAGTCTAGGGTATTGTTTTGGCTATTTCTTCAGTTTTTTATGAATTTATTATGACTTTTGAAAGGAAAAATATTGAAAAATAGTAATAAATAAAAGAGAATGACACATGGCAGCGCCTGATGGGTGCATCTTCAGAGTTTCCAATGGATATCAGTATCCCCTAACGCTACATATCATTAAAGGTTCATTTTTGTATGTTTGACTTGAAACATTTATATAACAAAATGCACCAAAAATTTCTAAAAACTCTCTTCAACTATGATGTGTGAAAATCAAAATGTGACGTTTGGAAATTTGACATTATCTTCAGCACGTGTTATTCTCTTATATTTTTTTTAAACTATTTTTTAATGCTTTAAGTTCCAAAAACGTAATAAATTGATTTATAAAAAAATCAGAAAAATACACGAAAAAAAAATCTTACGAGCTCCTTGTGACATTTTCTTGATCTTTTAAGCTTTAAAATATGTTTGGACACTAAGCAACATATTAAAAAAAATCAAATGAATCTGTCGCTTTCAGATTCTCTGTGTTGTATTTTTGCATTGCCGAAAGTAAACCAAACCTTCAAGCCATGATTTAGTTGAGGGTTCACAATGATCCCTCCACCATACTGTGGTTTGTGAGGCTTTGCCAAACACTCAAGACAAAATATGGATTCGTCGTAACAGGTGTTGTTTGTGCAAATAATCTCGCGGGAGAATATTCACTTCTAGATCCTTCAACCTTCGGTCTTCCTTCTCTCTCCTTCTCGATTCCTGTAAAAAAGACTGGAGTAAATAGACCACACCCGGGGGGTGTTGGTCAAAGGCCCTCCGATGCCTCCCATCCAGAACCACCTCGTGGTTCAGACCAAAAAAAAAAGAAAAAAAGAAACAGTCCTAATTTAACATTCAAAGGAATACCCATCACAAAAATGCAACAATAGCAAAGACAGTTTAAGCAACATATATATATCCTTTGATTACCTTCAAAGCAATCACGAACCATATCGAACCGTCCTCTTCCTGCCGTCTACCGTCACGAACATGACCCGCATCTCATCGAATGCATTGGTAAAAGACAGGTAGATCTGATCCGAGCCCCGATCCAATTCGAAGGTAAGCTCATCGCCCGACGTGGCAAGTATGTGGGCGATTCTGTTGAAAATAAACATGTTGTGTGAGACTTTTGAGTATGTAATACAAACACCAAATCACATAACAAATCCCACCCTCCTATGCCTGATTCTTATATATGCTCTCATACCCTTTTTTTTCCCAATTATTTGTTCATGCTTTCTACTGTGCAAAAAGATATAAATATAAAAAACAAAAAACTCTTCAGCCTCGTGTGTCTCGATTGGTTTCCCCTCCTACCTGGGTAGCGGTGGCATTGGTCCCGTGGTCTTGAGTTTGTGGCTGAAGCTGAGTGGTGGGTACTTTGGCTTGGACTTGGTTGCTTTTTTTTTTGCAAATTTGGGTGTTCCTCAGATCTATCCTGGATCCATACGTTTCTGGGGACAGTCAATTGGTTTGGTCGACTTGGGTGGTCTTGCTGGAACTTTCGTGGTTCTTGGAGTAGTTGCATAGGAGGTTGATCAAGGGGAGGGAAATGGAGTCCAACCCGGATTTCCGAATGGGGCTGGAGGAGAGGAACTTGTAGCTGATGAAGTTGTCGTGGTGTGAGGAAGGGGTTGAGTAGATGCAAAGCCAGTCGAGCTTGGGAGAAGAATTGACATCGGACCATTGGATGAGGGTTGAGTCACCCGATTTGGAGAGAGTGGTATTGTATAGAGACTGAAACATTTTGATAGGTTGGCATGAAGAAGGTGAAGAGAAGGAGGAAGATGAAGGGGAAGTGAATGTGGGAGTTTTTTGGATTGTAAGATTTTGGGGTGGAAATTTCAAGAAAGAATTAATGGGAGGAAGAAAGATACACCGATATAGTGTTTTCATTTGAACCGAGCCGGAAAAATCAAATGTTCAGGTTCAAAGAGATGACACCGATGTCCTAAAGAGATGATCATGAATGAACCCTTTCCCACAAATTCACTCATTACCATCCTTAAATGTATGTGACTAGTAGACTACATAAAGTTCTCTACCAAAGGCAGGAATTTATTAGTAATTGTTTAGAATACTTCTTTTTCTTTTCTTGGTGGTTCTTTTTTGGGTTCTGATTCTTCATTTGACTCCATTTGTTATCTGCTCATCACATGTTTCATTATTTGATCATCAACAAAAAAAGCAACTATAAAATGGGGATGTCGGTTTCTGACATGCAATCCACGAAATGGTTGGTAAATGAAAGCTTTATAAGGGATAATACACAACTTCTATGACAGGAAAACTATCAAAGTCATCCAACCTTATAGCCCGCACCTGTTCAGTAGATAGTTCTACTCAATAGTACGCATTGTTGCTGCACTTGAAACTGTACCTGGCATGGATGATGAGCTCTTCTTGGAAGCTTCTCTAATTCTAGAAGATGATGATGATAAGAAAGCCAAGATGTTTGTGGCAATGGATGTTGCAGCTCGAAAGAAGAAGCTATACAGAAAACTTCGCCAGTAGCATCTAAGTTGCTCGTCAGTATGCTAGTGTAGTTTTGATATGCTTATCACCCTGGTGCTTTTTTCCTATGTAAATTACATACATGGAAAGAGTTTCCCTCTACATAATGTAATTCCCTTGTGTATATCAGTAAGTTTTGAGATGAGCTTTTTCCCTGCTATTGAACAAGAAAGCCAAAGCTTCCTCTTCTCTTTGTTTTTTCAGCAAATTAACCTCACAACTGCTAATTAGCAACCGGATTATCTCCACACTATTATGAATTTAGGTTTTGAAGCTTACAAAGTTGTAAATCGAATTTCATACTTACCAAGAACTGCAATACGTATTAACAATAATTTCTTACTTACAAGTAAAATAATAAAATGAAGTTACTGATCAATTAAAGAAAAAAAATTACCCAGATCAAGAAAAAAATAAAAAATAAATAAACTACTGTGTCCCTCTCTGAAGAAGTAGAATTACTGATGAATCTTTTTCTGTTCTGTGAACCGCGTAAAGACCAAGGTCGTTTGCAAAAGTCGGATCCAAATTCCACTCTGTGAACTGGGAAGAGCCAATACAAACAGACACAGAGACGGAGAGGACCGTGTCACGACCTTGACAAAAGATTGGTGCTTTTGCTGCTAAATGGCATGGCCATCTCATTCTCTTCTTTTAGAATTTGCTCTCTCGCTCGCACTCCTCTCTACCTTCTTTTAGAATTTATCCCATAAATCATATAAACTTGATTCAAGACAGCGCCCGTAATAGGAGTACCCTAAGGTTGGAAGTAACTACTCCAAAAGTAACCTTAGCCCTATGATGAAAGTTTTCCAAACAGGATTCCACTGAAAATAATTGCACCAAACCACTTGTTCGACACAAATCTGGAATCAAGACGAGCAAATGTTGTGGCAAGCTGATCATGTTCAAAGCAAAACTAAGTAAAGAAGTGTTATGAATACATACATGTATACCAAACATTTCCAAATACTGCGTTATATACCACACTGGCAAACGAAACCGAGAAAAACAAGTGAGCAATAAATTTAAATATATGTGGGATAGAAAAGTCGTTTGAGAAATACAATCATAATAAACAAAATACGATACGCGAGCAGCAAGCTTGATAAAAAGAAGAAGCATCTCAATCAACTAATTCGAATATCCTATCAACTTATATATAGCTACTTTATTAATCTGCTCTTCCCTCAGTTCTAGGGTTGGGAATACAATCTTTAATATTGTCAAGGCCAGTAGCAAACATAACCATCCGTTCGAAGCCTAAACCAAAACCACTATGTTTGACAGTCCCAAAGCGCCGCAAGTCAAGGTACCACTGATATAGCTCAACAGGCAGTCCCCTCTCCAAAATCCTACATACAATCAACAGATGTATCATCCATCATATACCCCACATTACATTACATTACATGCCTTTGTTATTGTTGTCAGTTCAGACAATACAATATTGATTGTAAAATCAAGCGTACCTGTTCTGGAGAAAATCAAAACGCTCTTCCCTTTGGCTTCCCCCTATCAACTCTCCCACCTGAAAATGAAAAATGAAAACATAAACGTATGTGTACACATGCAAATTATGAGATGCAAAATGCTAAAGTATACAACAGAGTGTGGAACAGGAACTCAAAGATAGTTAGAAAATGCCCTGCCCACCTTTGGTACCAGCACATCCATGGCAGCCACTGTCTCAGAATCATCATTGAGCCTCATGTAGAATGCTTTGATATCTTTAGGGTAATTGTAAACAATAACAGGCTTCTGAAATTTCACCTCCGTCAAGTACCTGCACAAAAGCAAAGCAATAATATTAAATCAGCTGTAAGTAACACAAGAAGACAAAGCAACAGAATATATAATGCTTATATATGGGACTACGTACCTTTCATGCTCAGATGACAAATCAATCCCCCATTCCACAGGGTTCTCAAACTCCTTGCCATTTTTCACCGCCTCAATTAGCAGCTCCACTGCTTCTGTGTACGTAATCCGTTCAAAAGGTGTTGAAGCGACCATTCTTAGACGATCAATGCAACTTTTATCATACCTCTCAGCAAAAAATTCCATATCTTCATGGCATTTTTCAAGTAACCACTCACACATGAATTTCACATATGCCTCTGCACAGTTCATATCATCCTACATGAGCGTGCAAACTGTTAGACAGACTTTTGCATGGACAAACAGGTTCAAAAATACAGAAAACCACATGGACAACATCCAAAATGTATATTCAGGGCTACGCTAGATTTAAGGTTCACACACCTCAAGCTCCGCAAATGCCATTTCAGGCTCCACCATCCAGAATTCTGCCAAATGCCTTGTAGTATGTGACTTCTCAGCTCGAAAAGTAGGCCCAAATGAATACACCTTACTAAGAGAACATGCATACGCTTCAAGTTGTAGTTGGCCAGAAACAGTCAAAAATGTTGGCCGGCCAAAGAAATCTAGAGTATAGTCAATCTTCCCCTCCTTATGAGGGATACCAGGTTGAAGCTTAGATCTCTCCTCCAGCTTCCAGAGATTTTCCTTTGCCCTTTTAAGTTCAGCCACAGCATCACCAATGTCCATCTTACTTGCTTTAGAAGATTTCAGCAGAGTAACAACATCTTCTTTCTCCTTAACAATGACCTTAGCAGCTTCTACGTCTGCTTCTGATGGAGGAGGGTTCTTAAGCAGATCCTTTTCCAACTTCTCACCTTCACTAAACAAGGTTGTGACTTGAAACATCTCACCGGCACCCTCGCAATCGCTGCAGTTCATAATTGGAGTCTGCACGTTCAGAAAGCCACGCTCTAGGAAGAATATGTGAGTTGCATGTGCCAGGGCACTTCTGATTCGAATAACTACAGAGATCTGAAAGCAGATACGTGGTAATCAAAAACTAGTCATCAAAAGCATAAGAGGTCCTACAAACTAAGTGTTACTAGAAAAAGGCCTTGGAGGTAACACATTATCATCAACAATTGTCCTTTAATGTCTCTCCATCAACAGCCAATTTCAGGTTAGACAACCTTTTCCCACAAAGAAAACAAAACAAATGCATTAAATTCATAATTTATTCATTACTATTTTCTTTTCTTACAAGGAGAAAAGTTACTAAAAACACAAAAATGTGGAACCAAGTTGGACAAGATGTTCCATCAGAAATATGTCGTTAAGGACACAGCAATGGAAAACAATGCACTTCCCCATTAAATTCATAATTTATTCATTACTATTTTCTTTTCTTAAACGGAGAAGAGTTACTAAAAACACAAAAATGTGGAACCAAGTTGGACAAGATGTTCCATCAGAAATATGTCATTAAGGACACAGCTCCATTGGCTTCATTCAATCTTCTGAATAGCTATTATTTATTTCATTTTTTAACAGGAAACATAATTGAATGAACTATTAGTTATCGAATTGGCAAAAATCCCCAATCTTCTTCAATCTACCACTTATTCCACAGAGAAGAGCCAATACAAACAGACACAGAGACGGAGAGGACCGTGTCACGACCTTGACAAAAGATTGGTGCTTTTGCTGCTAAATGGCATGGCCATCTCATTCTCTTCTTTTAGAATTTGCTCTCTCGCTCGCACTCCTCTCTACCTTCTTTTAGAATTTATCCCATAAATCATATAAACTTGATTCAAGACAGCGCCCGTAATAGGAGTACCCTAAGGTTGGAAGTAACTACTCCAAAAGTAACCTCACAAACTCAAGGGGTAGGCTGGTCTTGGGCAAAGGGTAATCAGCAGGGTCGACTGGACCGACATGTACCATCTTCTCCACCTTAAGCTCCACCTTCTGCTCTTTATCCTCCGGGGGCAGCTTAAGCACACCATCTGCGACAACACATATACCAGTCCGCGCAAGCTGCCCGAGGTCAACCTTGTCTGCTTCCACAAACACCTGTAAGTTTCCCAAGCATGACCCATCATTCAGCTGCAAAAATCTTGAACCCTTGCTTCCCTTCCGAGCAGTCTTCACCCAGCCACCAACCCGAACCCGCTGGCCGGCCAATGCAGACCAGTCATCATCAGGTCGCACAATGATGGATCGGATAGGAATTATATCGGAAAATTCCGCTTTTGCAATGGAGGCAGTGCCATTTAAGGTAAGGACGCCTAGTTGGGCACCCAGCAGCTTGGAATCGCCATTCACCATGACAAAGATTTGGAATTCAAAGTCAAGCAAAAGCCGGGTGTTGTTACCTAAAGAAAATGTGTATGTAATGGCAAAGGACAACCATTTATTAGGATTTAAGCTGCAAAATCAAGGTATGCACCAAGGTATCTCGAAAATACAAGACAGGAAGAACGGTCTAAAGCTAAAAGTATATGCGGGTAATAAATAAAAAGCTCAGGGAATTCATAACAGAACAGAGATATGCAAGGCCTGCATGAATGAAGCATAGGACCAGCGAAACTAACGGCCACCACTACATCATTAAGTTATTATATTAAGATTTCTGATTTTTATCATGTAAACCAGCTAAAATGCACATAACTCGCACAGCCGAAAACAGGTAACACTGAAGACATGGAATTCATGAATTCAATACTAATAAACGCACAAGCACACACACATACTATCACTTCACTCAGTTATTTATGCAAAAATACAGAATATGCATACACAATCAAATCAATTCTGCACTGACACAAGTCTACAATGGTCCTGTGTGTTGGGATAATTCTGCACTGACACAACTGCCTAAAGCAGCTCTCAAAACTTACCTAAAATGATAAAATCACCTACAGCAGCTCTCAAAAACCCTTAAAAATTCCAACATACAATCCAAAACCTACAGCAGCTCTCACATATGCAAAACCAAAACTTAAGATCCACATTTAATCGAAAACCCAATACAAAATTGACAAAAAAGCCCAAAACTTACAGAACAAAATTGGCAAAAACGCAAAACTTACATAACAAAATTGACAAAAAAAACTTTTTTTACCGTTTTCGTTGAAAAGTCTCCGGTGCTGTCGAGCCAGAGAGAGAAGGGTCCGGCCGAGACAGAGAAGGTGAGGTAGTCGAGCTCGAGTCAGAGGGGTGAATGGAGTATTTAGGTAGTTTAGCGGAAGCAAAAACAATGTAAAACAGAAAATAGAATAAAAGAGAGAGATTTGGAATCACTTCAGGGTCTGGAAAATAAACTTTTTTTCATATCTCAACAATTCAACTCCATAATGAATTAGATGAGAGGGGTATTTGTAGCAACCTAAAACCTAAAGACAATAGGATAAAAAAATCCCTTGCTAAAACAGAAATTCTAACATAAATAAAATAGGAAACTTATAACTCCTACTAAAATCTGGAAAACTTAAAAATCTTACTATAATCAGGAAAACTTGGAGAACAAGTTAGAAACTAATCGCAGGAATAAAAAAATGCCAGTTTTGAAGACCACATTAAATGACTTCCTCTTCCATCTCTTTCTTTTGTAAACCCTAATGGGTTTGACAAAGATGTCCTCATCAATTCGATTCGGTTCAGTCGGTTCGTTCAGTTCATTGATTTTTGAGTCACCTACCTCGAGAAACACCAAAAAAAAAAAAACCTCTGCTTAGTCACCTATCTCCACTGCATTGTTTGGTTTGATGGAAAGTGAAGGGATGCTGGTCAATTTGTTTTAAGTTGAGATTGTGTGAAAGACATGGTTGTTGGTGCAGGTCAATAACCCAGGACACCTTCCTGATATTAAGATGATAACACTATTTGGATGTGGGGCTCTGCTCTTAAGGGGTGATCAGCGCTGGATGCACCATAAACGATCTCCTTGACGGGATATTGATACCATGGTAATGTCCACTGGCTTTTGCAGTTTATTTCCTTGCCTGTTTTGTTTTCTATCTTGTGGTTGTGAACTTGTGAGTGCCTTTTCTTTTTAACTCCAGGTAGAACGTACAAAATTGCGGCCAGTTGCAAGTGGTCTTTTGACACCTTTTCAGGGGATCTGTTTTCTTGGATTTCAATTGCTTTTGGGTCTTGGAATTCTCCTTCAACTGAATAATTATAGGTTAGTTTACTTTTTATATCTGCCCTTGCATCCATGGCTTTTTTAGTTAATACATCTGGTTAAACCAATATTATCTGCAAGCATGAACCTCTGTTTACTTCATTGGAATTGACAGCCGCGTTTTGGGGGCTTCATCATTGTTGCTAGTTTGACCTTTAATTGGGGAGCTTTATTAGGATGGGTGCAGTTAAAGGAAGCATTGATCCAGCTATAGTGCTCCCATTGTACCTTTCTGGAGTTTGCTGGACACTTGTGTACGATACGATATACGCACATCAGGTAAAGCAAATATGTCACTGTAGTACTCACATCACATGGTCAGAAGTTATAGTTTCCAAGATTTGTGTGTGATGAAACTATGGAATATGTGTAGGAATAAGAGAACTTTTCATGCAATCCAACAAATGATGTTTCTGACTATACTTGCAGGATAAGGAAGATGATCTGAAAGTAGGTGTTAAGTCTATTGCATTGAGATTTGGTGATTCAACTAAGGAGTGGATTACTGGGTTTGGAATTATGTGCATCAGCAGTCTTGCCCTCAGTCGATATAATGCTGAAACCGGTTTTGTTCCCTCCTTTATTTTCGTTTTGTTTTTGTTTTTTTAAAATAATTTTTTCTTTTACCATTATTGGAACTTCAATCCAATTCTTTTTCCTTCTGCCACATCCTCACACCAATCTTTCAACTGTGGAGCAGGGTGGCCATACTGTGTATTTTTGGCGTCTGCATCTGGACAATTAGCTTGGCAGATATGGACTACCAACCTTTCATCCCGGGTTGATTGCAACAGAAAGTGTGTATTTTTCGTGATATGATCTTGATTTCAAGTAATCATAGAGATTAAATCGGCGTATTGCATCAATGTTAATTTTGCCATACTGCATATTTCTCCAATCAAAGAGAAACAAAAAAGGTAAATATTGAAAAAAATATAACTTGGAGGAATTCATACACTAGGGAAGGAAAAGCTCATTTAGGTTTAAGATTTCTTTACTTTGTTTTGCTTTGAACATGTTGATGCTCAAAATGGTTCAGCCAAGATTGAGTCCAACTTAGTGATGAGGTGTGATGGATGATGGGTGAAGGTGAGGACCTTCAGCATGTGTGTGAAGATTTGGGCAAACGATAAATATACAGAAGACGAGATATACGTGGTTCACCCTTAATGAATGGGCTACGTCCATAATGTGTATTTGCATTTGTACATGGGGTTGGACCCAAATATAAAGGCAACACCGTAGTTCATCCTCCAAGTCGTATAGTGCACTACCCATAGTCCCCCAAGTCCCCGGGTAAGAAGGACATTGGAGGGAGGGAACTTGCAACAAAAAGTCAAGTGGTTTGCAAGTCCCCATTTTGTTATGCAAGGGTGCCGAAGGGCATCATAGTACGCCAAAAGGTGGGGGTGCCGAAGGTACAAGACTTGCATATCGCAAACAAGGTGCTGAAGGGCACGAGGGTGCCGAAGGCATAAGACTTGCATGTTGCAAGACAAGGTACCGAAGGCATAAGACTTTGCATGTCGCAAGGAGATGTGCTTAGGCACGGGGGTTGCCGAAGGCAAAGGGGATGCCAGAGGCGACACAAAGTTTGCATGTCGTAAGGCGATGTGGCTAGGCACGAGGATGCCGAAGGCGACACAAAGCTTGCATGTCGCAAGGCAATGTGGCTAGGCACGAGGGTGCCGAAAGCAAAGGGGATGCCGAAGGCGACACAAAGCTTGCATGTTGCAAGGCAATGTGGCTAGGCACGGGGGTGCTGAAGGAGACACAAAGCTTGCATGTCGCAAGGCGATATGTTTAGACATGCGGGTGCCGAATAATAATATCTTCTCTTCTTCTTCTTTTTTTTTTTTTGGAAGAAGAGGAATTTCTGGGGGCTGGGCCTCTTGTATTTTGGTGAGCTGGGCTTCTGGCAAGGGTTCGAAAAATGAGAGATAAGTGTTGTTTCGGCAAGGTCGATAAAAAAAGGGGGCTTCAGCAAGTGTGCGACGTGTGTCGTGTAGCTGGAGCACAAGTCACTACGTTCAGATCTCTGAAGGGAAGGTGCCGGCTTGGGTTGGGCGTGAATTTTGAGCTGGGCCTTCGGAGGTTGTACATTCGGGAGGAGGCCATATAGTTGGAAGGAGGTCGTGCATGCACGAGCTCCTTCGTAGCTTCTGCATAGCCCTTGCCGAACAACAAGGGTGATTTGAAAAAAAATTTGAGGCCTCCCTCCCCACCTTCCACACGATCGCTGGTCGGCAAGGATTTTGAAAGGAAGGTTCAGTATCTGTACCTTTGGCATGGCTCTGAAGCTGGGTCTTTTAAAGCTTCCTAAAAGAGATGTGAGAGGGCTTTTGGAAAGAGAGAGGTGTGAGTCCCAACGGTGTGAAAAGAGTTCTAACGTGGAGCCGTCACGGTCCTTGCCGTTCGGAATTAGAAACCGCGATTTTGTGTGCGCCACCTTAGCCCCCGAGTTCCTTCACAAGATCCCTGTCGTTCTGCAAATGTGGCTGGGGGACAATAGTTCGGTAGCACAACAATTCCGCAAAAGGAGGCTTAAGGCAAGATCATTGAGGCTTTACAATTTCGAGCACCCTCCTAGGTTCTGCACAGCCCTTGCCGTTCGGCAAGGGTGTATTGTAGAATATTTTTTAGGCCTCCCGGATCTTCGGCAAGAGGGTGGTCTGGGTCCTTGAAGTGGCGGCAAGGGTTTGGAAAAGAGAAAAATCCGAAGGAAAGTACGCGTCTTTGATTGAAGGGCTGATTGGAAGCCGCCCGTGTGCGCATCCAGCCTGCAGCCTAGGTCGTGGTTGCTTCAGCAAGGTTGACGTATGTGTTTTGGGAGGAGGTTTCGTGGATCCTCTGCTTCAGCAAGGCCTCCCAAATTGTCAGCATGGCTTCAGCCCTCCTTCAGCATGGAGATGGTGGTCTCTCAAGGCTTTTGGGTGGCTTGATCAATCTCTTGGATGGGTGTGCTGTTTTGGTTGTTGATTGGCTTTGTTAATTTCTTCAGATGAAGCCAAGTAGCTCAGCTTTTCCCGTAGTTGCATGGCTGGGTGCCTTTTGGTGGTTATCACTTTGGTATTCACCATGCATGTTGGCAGCCTTATATATTGATAAAAGTCTGAAGCTTTATATAGTACTAACCTCTCCGCATGCGCTTTCGCGCCTGGAAGAGTTTTTTTTTTTTAAAAATTAAACTTATTTTAGAATTAAAAAAGATAATGGGTAGTTGTGTTCCATAAAAAGAGGATCTATTATCTGATTTTTCTTTTAATTTTAATTTTTTTTAATATGAAAAAGTGGGAATTTACCTTAGCATCCTCATTTAATTAATAATTTCAATTCTTAATGTTTGCATTAACCAATGGCATTTTATGGTATTTTGAATGTTTCACCATTCTCTGCCTTTTGCTTTATATATATAGATAACATAAGATGAAAGGGGTGTGGAAGATATCACTTATCTCTTTAGTAAAGTATGCAACGTGGACTCCCTCCAATAATGCTATCCAAGGAAGGTGCCAAACGGCAGTTTGCAGAAAGTCTGGGGCACCTTGTATTTTTCCCTCTTTTTTTAATTATCGTTCGGTAATTGACTTCAGCACATCCATGGGGAGTTGGCCTGTTGTTTAGCACGATTAGTCTCGACCACCTCAAGACAAGAAGGAAGCCTGAGCTGCTGATTAATAGTTTGCAGATCAATTGGAGGTCTAAGCATATCACTTGGCTCAATCCTCTCCTACCAAAAGGTAGGATTTGTGCCGTTGAGAAGGTGGCTCAATCATGCCCAACCATGCCCAACGTTATCGTTCGGCAATTCGGAATGAATTATGTGAGCTTTTTTTTTTAAGGTGAGACCCAAGGGTATCCATCGCCGATAGCAGTGACTAATCCCTTTCGCCGCGGGAGCTCTCCCAATGGAGGTAGACGATTGGCCACGAAATGCGCTCCATTCCCATGGGCGGGGATCGAACCCCCAACCTCATGATTAAGGAATGAGGTGAGCTACCACCACACCACATCTCATGGTTTTATGTGGGCTTTCCCTTGGACTTGAAATGGA